ATTTTTAATCCTTGAGACTTATTTCTTTTATAACTGTACTCTTAATCCCCTTTATGTATTTCACTCACCCCCACCCACCTTTCCTCTGGCAACCACCAGTTTGTTCTCTGCTTAAGTGCGTTCGCTTTTTGTTTTCTTTTGTTTTTTTTAGATTCCACATATAAGCGAAATCACATGGTATTTGTCTTTCTCCTTCTGACTTACTTCACTTAGCATAATGCCCTCTAGGTCCATCCATGTTGTCACAAATGGCAAGAAATTCTTTTTTCATGGCAGAGGAATATTCCATTATGTATATACACCACATCTTCTTTATTCATCTATCAACTGACCTCACTTCCATATCTTGGCTACTGTAAATCATGCTGCAATAAACATAGGGGTGCATGCATCTGTTTGAATCAGCCTTTTCATTTTCTTCAGGTAAATACCCAGCAATGGAATTACTGGATCGTAGGGTAGCTCTATTTTTAATTTTTTGAGGAACCTCCATACTGTTTTCCAGAGGGGCTGCACCAGTTTGCATTCCCACCAACAGTGTAGGAGGGTTCCCCTTTCTCCGTATCTGTCGTTTTTTGTCTTTTTGATACAACCATTTTGACAGATGTGAGGTGACATCTCACTGTGGTCTCAAACTTAAGTTCCCTCTAAAGGAAAAAGTAAAGGTAAGGTAACAACAACAACAACAAAAACCAACTCTTGGAGGACAAGATGAGATCCATTCTCTGGGGTATGTGTAGACCTCTAACCCAGTGCAACTGATAAACTTGGCTACATTAATACTAAGTACTCTACCCAAAAAGGGGGAATGAAAAGTCAAGGTATCAGGCACCTGGGTGGCTCAGTCAGTTAAGCGTCTTCCTTTGGCTCAGGTCATGATCCCAGGGTCCTGGGATTGAGCCCCGCATCGAGCTCCCTGCTTTGCAAGGAGCCTGCTTCTCCCTCTCCCCCTCCCCCTGCTTGTGTTCCCTCTCTCACTGTGTCTCTCTCTGTCAAATAAATTTTAAAAATCTTAAAAAAAAAAAAAGAAAGAAAGAAAAGTCAAGGTATGACATGGGAAGTTATTTGCAACACATACATTTGAAAAAGAACTCATATCCTGAACACAGAAGTGACTCCTATAGAGCAAGGAGAGAAAAAAAACTTGAGTAGAAAACATGGGGGAAGAAACTGAAACGAGTCAGAAAGGGAATATTGAACGGACATTCCATATACGAAAAAACCCACACATTTGTTAACACTCAGGAAAATGCAAGAGAAAACTTATGAGACATTACCACAAACCCTCGTATGCAGCAAACATCAAAACAGAGCTTCCAGCCACGGTTTGGGATGGAGGACATCCGGCAGCGTTCATTCACCACCGCGGGGGATGTAAATCGGTCACCTGTAGCAATGCATTTGGCAGGATCTACGTGTAACGCATCCGGATTCTATGACAAAGCCCGTCCACTCCTACGTGCATGTTTAGTGGTCACGCACGGACTTGAGCACCGTGACGCGCACCAGGTCTTACAACAGCGCCAAACCTGAAACCGCACAAATGTCCTTTAACGTGAGAACACGCGAAACATTCACCCCCCAAAAAAGCAGGAAAAATGACCAAGTGATGCCCACACACAACACAATTAAATCTCACAAACGTGTGGAACAAAGTATCCAAGAACATCTAGTGTATGAATCCATGAATCAAAAGTCCAGAAATAGGGGCGCCTGGGTGGCTCAGTCAGTTAAGGGTCGGCCTTCAGCTCAGGTCATGATCTCAGGGTCCTGGGATCCTGCCCTGTCTCAACACTCCCCTCGGCCTCTCAGCGTGCCCTCTGCTCCCCTCACCCCTGCTTACACCCCACACCCCTGCTCCCAGGAGCTCTCTCTTTCTCTCAAATAAATAAAATCTTTTTTTTTTTTTTAAAGCTTTTTAAAAAAGGAGACTGTTTGCTCTTCCGTGATTCGAGACTGCCATCTACTGACCACACGGGTACTTGATGAACTCCGAGGCACTCCCTCAAATTAGAGCAGAGAAAATAAAGGAGATACTTTTATAAAGAATGTGTTTACACTTGTGTGGGGTTTTGCTGTGGTTTATAGTAAGACTGCTTCCTCAGGGGCAATAACAGCGCACACGCCAGGGTTTGGGCACGGCGGCGCGGGCCCCGCGTGGGGACCCAGCTGCGTGAGTCGTGCAGGCTGGATCTCACACCCGCTCCTCTCCCCTTCGCTGCCTACCTGCGAAGTGCCACACAGCTGAGCCAGGCAGCCCTGGCTGTGAGCGAGGGCCTCAGACGGTCTGCACTTGACAGACGGGAACGCTGGGCTCAGAGGGCAGGTCTCCCGCCTGCCTGGCCCGGAGCCCGTGTGTCCCACATCCGCACCCCCTCCTGTCTCTGAACATCAGGGGACTGGGCATTCCAGGCCTGGCTTCTTTCTCTGCCCTCTGCTTGGGTCCTACTAAGGTAAAGATGGGCAGGGAAGGCGGCTTGAGACTGCAGTTTGGTTGATCATGGAGTCATCTCCAAATTCCCTGTCAACACCCACCACACACGCCATGAAGAGAGGCTTCCGGGCTCTGCCGGACTTGCACAAAATGGAAGTGATAATTGCATGAGTCACGAAGTTTCACACACAACAGGTAAACAGAACTGTAAATGACAGTCGTTAAAAAAAAGTGTGTTACTTTCCCAAGAAGTGGGGCAGGCCTTGCCTGGAAGGGCCACGTGGGAAAGCACTGGGTGGGTCAGCAGGCGGAGCCTGGGCATGGGAGACGTGGGGCAGGAGTATTTACTGTGCTTTCGGGGGAGGTGAGGGCCGGTGGATGTCGTCCCACCCAGGAGAGCCTGACAGAGCAGGGGGCGGATGTGGGCTCTGGATTGGCTGGTGTGCGTACAAACACACACTCTCAGCCTCTCGTTCACGATCTCTAGGCCCGGGCTGGCCCTGGGAGGGACCGTCCCCGGGTGAAAAAGGATCAGAAATACAGAAATATACATCTTCACGAAACTCCTCTGTTCCTTATAGGTCTGGACATGGACAGTCACCCTCAGCAAGACCACTTCCCCCGAATTCCAGCTGATTGCAATACTCACATAGATGAATAAAAAAGCCACACACCAGCTCTCCTATTCTCAAATCTCTGACTCTAGTCACCATGCCATATGATTCCTTCTTCCCTGACAAAAGTAGCAAAACAAACAGAATATTTTTTTTTTTTTTTCAAGAAATTTTTTTTTTTTTTTTTTGACAAAAGTAGCAAAACAAACAGAATATTTTTTTTTTTTTTACAAGAAATTACTTACTGTTACTTTTGTTCTTTGGACTTTTACATTCCCCATTAACAACCCTGGCACCTGCAGAAAACCAGACCCTTAGCTCCGTTCCTTCTACCACGTGCCAAGGGGCTCCCATTCCGGTGGTGGGAGAAGCAATGAACAAGTGTGGGCATCAAGGAAGTATCAGCACCGTGATGGAAATAAGGCAGGGGAGGTGTGTGGAGGGTCTCTGAGGATGGCAGTCGGTGGCGGTGGGGGGGGGCTTCCCTGAGGGGGTGACCTCTGAATGGAGAAAGGGTGGAGCCCCATGAACACCCAGGTGAGGAGGGGTAGCAGGAACAGTAGGTGCAAAGGTCCTGGGGTTGGTTCTTTGTAGGTACAGAGAGAGGCCAGGGTGGCTGCAGCCTAGTGACCAAGGGGGAGATAAAATCAGTAGGACCATGATGATAGCAGGACCAGGCAGGCCAAGGGAAAATCTGGGTTTCATTCTGAGGGAACAGGGGGTCCCTGGGGCAGGGCTGGGTGTTTATTTGGGGGAGTGGAGTGACATAACTGATTCACTCTTTGGTATTTCCCCCAGCTGCCCAGCAGAGATGATGTGAATGGGACTGAAGGTGCTGGGGGGACAGGAGACAAGGGGAGAGGGTCTGCGGCCCTCCAGATGGGGGTGACACTGAAGCTGGAACTCCCCATCCAAGGACATGGGCAGCCTCTAAGCCCTGCCTCACACATCTGTGCAGGGAGATTACGGACATAAAGAGAGCTCGGTCTGTGGGGTCTCAGGCAGCAGCGGCCCCCCTGTGAATCAGCGAGGAGAGGTATGCTGGGGAGCTCACCTCACAGCCTCCACCACCGGCCTCTGATGAAGAGTTAGGAATCCCTTATGTGAGCTCCGGGGGGTGGGGGGGTTTACCTCAACCCAAGAAATCACCGTGTATCTTCCTTTCCTCAGAGCCTGAATTCCATTTTCTGACTGAGTCGGGCTTTCCGCTGCAGGTCCCCATGACAACGGGCCCTCCCCCTCCCCCTTCCTGACACTCTGTCCTGATTTTCTGCAGGAGGCGAAGCTGCAGGCATGGCAACCGGTCCGGTGGCTGATTGCGGAAGCGGCGGCATTGAGTCTCTGAATGAGTTAACACTCACAGAGCTGGACAAGACAAAGCCAGTGTTTCCACGAAGCACTGTTAAAACATCAGCCAGAACTGAGGGCTGCTGGAGTGGTGGGGGGTGGCTGGGTGATAGACACTGGGGAGGGTATGTGCTATGGTGAGCGCTGTGAACTGTGTAAGACTGATGAATCTCAGACCTGTACCCCTGAAACAAATAATACATTATATGTT